TAATTATAATAATGACAATGGGGCACAATTAAACAACTTGTTAGCACTACAATGGCCTATGTTTTTATAGTACACACAGATGAAATCATGGTCACACTGCAATCAGAGATAGAGTAATCATTCTGTAAATATTAGGGAAGATTAAGTTTTGGTTTCAGTGTTAAGTCTGTTGAGAGAAACTAGGAGAGCTTTTGTTTTAGGCTTTCTACCAACCCAAGGGGACTTGGTATGGGGTTTTAGTTCCCTTGCATGTTTGTTTTTTTCCCCTACAACTTGAGATATCGGGTAGTTTATTTTAAATGAAAGTACATGAGGCAAGGGGAAATTCAGCAGGTCCTACCATTAGACATATAATTGCATCAGTGCTTAAAATGTAAGTTATTATAGTGCTATCTAAGGGTTGCATCATTAAGTGGTTCCTAATTCTGTGGTGCTGTCTGTAAAGACATAGAACAAAGCAGTATCAGAATCAGAGAATGTAGGAGTGATGGAGCAAATAAAAACTACAGAGGAAGATACTTGACAAATTCTTGGCTATGGCTGTTACTATCTCTGTAGAAAAAAAAGTTTAGGATCAGCGCATCTGTTACGACTATCTGGTGATGCTAAATACACATTTACCAGTGATCACTAAAACTTCAGGGTATCATCGGAGTGTGCTTCTTCTTGCGGCACATTGAACTAAATGCTTTTATAAAGTGCAAGAGTTCTTGATAACCAGAACTCTGAGCTGCCTCTTTATTTTTTTTTTTTCTTCTCCCCAAGTGTAGTAAACTTAATGCTGACTAAATTGCAGGAGTGACAAATTACAATCACATTGACAGGAGTTGTGCAAATGTTGTGGCCCACCAGGATTCCCTTTCTAAGCCACATAGGAAATTTTTCACTCTAAATCAACACTTACTAAAGTATATGGAACTTTAGTTCATACTTTAGTGTATTAAAGTTTTATTACCATGTACTATTCCATAGTTTTATTTTTACTCCACCCACGAACTTCTCCGTCCCTCTCTCCTCACCCCAGAAACAGGAACTGTCACACCGTCTCCCACCCCTGTGCTGCAGCTGACTCAACGCTGGCATCTTCCAGAGGCAAATGGGGACTGTTTTTTTCCTTATAACTCCCTGTTTTGCCCCAGTGTCCTCTGTGCTGACAGCTACACTGTTCAGATGCAGACTCGGATGGAAATGCATTCAAATGTGTCTAGCTGTAATGATTATCTTCTAACTACTGTATATTAGCATGAGTATTTCCAATACATGCCACCACTGCCAATCTGGACACGAGAACTTTTAAGACTACTCATTCTTTATTTATTTGATGTATTATATGGAATTAGAAGAGATATGATCAGGGAAATAACATAGAGGCATTTTTCTAAGGTCTAATTTTGGGAAGGATTTAAAAGAGTATTTGGGCATGTAGCTCTCAGAGCTAAAATCCATGGTCTTAAATTTCTAAAGACTTACGAAAAAACTTGCTCTTGCAAGTTCTGCTGAATACAATACCTCATTAGTGCTGCCGGTGATGTGATAGTGCTCCACAACTACCTGGAGACAGCACACTGGAGAGGGAGAGGTGAGAAACTTGTAATTACTTAAGTAACATAGAATGTAACTACTGAGATGTTTCCACCATGTCAGAAATGTGCCAAATGCATATGCAGAAAATTTCAGTATATATAATTAAAGCCATAGCTTGCACTGTCTAAAATAAAAATAAAATACCAGTGCTGATTCTTTTCTGCATTTGCAATCTGAGTCTTGAGAAGTTAGTTGCCTTTTAACCAGCATGTGGATGCAGTGTAAAAGATAGCATCAGTTTCTCCGTATGCTGAAATTTCTTTATGATGGGAATGAAGCTCACAGGATCCACATTAAGCCAGTCAACACGTTTGAAAAATTCCAATTAATTACTTTTGGATCAGAGGAACACAGTTTAACCAAATGAACTTCAACCCACCTACATTATGACATTTTCCAAATAGCTTGGTATGTGAATGTGGTATTTTTTAAAAGGATTCCAAGTAATGTATGACTCTTACAGCAGCTTTTAATTACATCAGTTCAGGCAGCTGGGTGTAAATTGCCCTTCTCTGTAAATTCAGCTGGGCCATAAGAATTACTTCAGATTTGAAATGTGAAGCCATCTACTTCAGAAATAAATTTTAATTTCCAGTTTAAAATTGTAAACAAATTTTAAAATATGCATGTCTATCCTTTTAAAGTGACCATATAGATGAATGTGTAATTCAGAGCACATTTCAGTAGAATGGCATCTGTAATTACAGTGGTGCCCTGTGCTGCGTATCTGGAGAAACACATGAAGAGCCCAACAAAGAACAATTATATACTGCCCCTATTGATTGACTAATAACACATTTCGTGAGTATACATTTACAATCCCTGCTTAAGAGGAAGCAAGTGTGCCCTTCTGCCATTTTTGTGTGTTGAAGTACCAGATACCGCCAGCCTCCTTGGGAAGCAGCTGCAGGAGAAAGCTTGCAGGAATTCATGGGAACCAAGCTCTGGCAGGCACTGCTCTGTGAGGTGTGGAGAGCAGCTGTCTCTCCCGGAGGACTGATCAAATTAATCAGTTGATAGGGAGTATCTGGCTTTGCTGAGAGGCAGCCACTCCTGGATCCGGCCTTGTCACGTTCCTAGACCCGCAGGAGCCAGGAGACGCTGCCTCTTGTAGGTCCTAAGAGTTGCCTCTGCAGGGGAATTGAGAGTTTCTTGGCTTCTGAAGTTGGCAAAAGCTCGCGCCTAGTACAAAGGCAAGATGGGCAGTGTTTTGTCCTTTGTGAATAATCTATCCATTATGACAGTGTAGAACAGAAACGATGATTTGGCTTGCTAAGCTAAAATACTAAACTAAACATGATTTTGCAAATGCTGTGGCTCAGGAGAAAAGCAGGTAGCCTCACCTTGGGGACCTGAGAGCTGTCTTTGGGTGTTGAATCACTGCTCCACTCTTGTAATGTCCCCTCCCGCCATGTTCACTCATCACAGAGACCTTCCTGCACATCAGCTGCTGCATGTAGTTGCCATTTACTTTTTGCCTTTCTCCACTGCCTACCTTCTCTCTGCATCCTAATAATTGCATTTTTCACCCTGCCTCTTTTTTGCCTCTCAAGAAAGCACCATAGAAAGGGCATGAGAAATGGGGGATTTGGCGTGGGAATTTTGCTTCTGCAGAAGGGTGGCTAATGCTGCCTTTGATGGCTAATGCTGGAAATTCCCATACAGGCTGTGGAGGCAGTTGTTCAGTTGCTCCTTGAGCCTCCCTATGCTGTTCCTTCTTGACAGGTAGCTCCCCACCCACACGTGGCCTGTTGAACCCTGTTAATTTAGCCATTTAAGTTAGTTTGTGTATGTAGCCCTGTCTAATGCACGTATTCAGGTTGGCAGTTTAATGCATGTTCCGGTATTGCTTCATATGATTCATTGAGACTTCTATGTAAGCTAAGATCATATTTTTTTCTATGTGTTATGAGGTTTTAGATCTTAGTGTTAGAAAGGTCATGAACGTTCCAGTGGCTTTGCTTCTACTAGATCTTCTTGTTTTTCTCTTAACTTGCTGTTAGTGCAATACTGAACTGAAATATTGTGTTTTGCTTTTATAATTCTCCTCCTTAGCTATTTACAGAAATTTGATTATCAGAGCTTCAAAACATTAGAATTTTGTGACATGGGAAGAAAGTGTACATAGATCAATAGAAATGCGCCTCAGGCTATGAAAATGGAGCTCTGATGTGCTCTTAAATCCCAAATTCTGTTTGAAGAAGGAAACTACGGTGTAATACTCCTTCATAAGTGCTCAATGTTTACACTTAATTTAATAATACTACTCAGCCTTCTGGGGTGAGCAGTATGAAAAAATATGAGATACTTAGATCTGTCAGAACTCCAGAAAGAAGAGTGAATTTATTGTATTTGCTTTGCCATTTTTCTGGAGTTCAGACTAAAAAGGATTTGCAAATTAGGGTAACTAAACAAAGAGAAGATAAGGCTGTTTGAAGTAAGCAATTGCCTAGCATACTACCTGGTGCTGTTAAATTGGCCAAAATGTCAGTTGAGACATGCTAAGTTAAAAAAAGCCTGAAACGATAAAACTGCAGCTTCATGCAGCTGGATTATTTTCACATTGTAAGAAGAATCTGAGTCTCATGTTTGGAACTAATTAGACTTTGTAGGCAAATACTTCTACTAAAAATTCCAGTGAACCTATTGGGAAAAAAAAAAAAAAGTTTCTAGTGTGTTATTTATTGGAATGGTGATGTGGCACTTGCTGGAAATTAGCATCAGTCATCTTTCTTCCAGGTTTCGTGCTTGTTTATGGAGTTACAGCAGTCCTTACATGAGTACCTTCTCTCCCCCTGTAAAGCTTGTACTTCTGGAAAAGGTTGCATCATGTAAGCAATAATAGTTGCTTATAAGTTAATGATTAAGGAGTATGTTGGTCACACAAGACTCAGAATTTAGTTAAAAAAATGTTTGAGAGATACACCTACTGCATATTACTAATATTTTAAGCTTTAGCAAATAGCCAGATATTGTAGCAGTTTCTCAAGAACTGTTTCTTCATGCTGCCAGTAGGCAGATTAGTTTCAGTATCAAACAATAGAAATTTACTTCTCCATCCTTAAACAATTCCTCCATTTGTCCAGCATTTTCCATGTAATAGCACTTATAAAAATGTATTTGCAGTAAAGATGTTTTAAATTTAAAATCAAAATGTGATTTGAAAATCTTTTCATAGTTCGAGTGAGCTTAATTGTTTGTGTTTCTTCAAATCTGCTGAATTTTGGGTGTAGTCTTCATAAGCAGTATAGTAACAATCCTCCTACATATTTCTTGTTATTCTCTGTCTTGGCTGCCACTGGTTTACTTGTCAGATGCTCTTCACCTCCACCTTCACCACCACCACCATATTCTATTGATGCAAACCGCAGTTACACATATTCTTGGCTGAGAGGGAACATCTGTTTTCTGTAACTCTTACCCTGCTGCTAATGGCTTTCCACAAACTGGCTTTGGAACAGGTGCCTGGGAGCAAAACTGTAAGGTTACCATTTTGCCTGCTGTTTCTTTACCCTTCTTGTGATGGATCGAGAAGGAAAAACTGCGTTCTTCCACCATTGTGTGCAATGAGCTGTTAAAAGAGTTTCTGGCTTACTGGCATTGTAGATTTAATTTTTGTTTTTAATGAGTATTGTCTGGGGGATCACCTATTTTCTCCAGTTTATGCAGTGAGAGAGATTTTATACTGCGAAGACGTAATTTTTCTTTTCTTATTTTCTTCTGTAGTCTGCCATCTTCAACTTTCAGAGTCTACTGGCTGTAATTTTGCTGCTCATATGTACCTGTGCCTATATCAGATCCTTGGCTCCCAGCTTACTGGACAAAAATAGAACTGGGTATGTAGTCTGATCATTTTAAAAATACTCAAGCTTTTTGGTTTTAACTGTAATATTTTAGTATCTTCTAATGGTGTGTGATAATACAAATCCTATTTTGAAAAATTTCTCACTTATTTAAAGATAAAAATACTCATTTTGTACCTTACAGTAGAATGCAATAAGGTATTTACAAGCACTTTGTTACAATTTTATAGTAAGAATTAAACAAAGCCAGCTAATACTGCTTTATTGATTACTTTCTAGATTTGCAACTTTCTTGTTAGATACCTATTAAAGATACAGGAATGAGTGACAAAAAGAAAACATTTTCCTATATGTGGCTATTGCTGTAATTATTTATTTTTGATTCTTAGGGTGAATAAGAAAGCATTAACTGCAGAAGCTGGCTTTTAGTATGTTTTCAGTATAGGCGTTTTGGAAGTACAAGTTTGAAACACAGCATAAACAATAATCTGTAACTAAGAAAATTAAAAATGTTTTTTAAAATAAGCAACACTGTCCGTACGTATGATATTTTTAAGTCATTATTTTGTATTTTCTAAGATGAAGGAATTTGTTGAAAGCTTCTAGAAAGCCTAACCTATTTTTGTTGTCCCTTGGTCACTCTAACTTCATCTCTGACTTTTATTCCTAAAAGCACATGTTCCTAGGTGACCAGTGTTTTTCTTCTTTGTGTTCCCTGTTTTCCTGGAATGTGTTTAATGTTGCAGGGCCAATACTGCTGCAAAACAGTTCTTCTCTTCCCTGCTCAGCAGCACAATTTTTGGGGTGATGGGAAGTGGGGACAGCCACAGAGCCAAATCTGTGCCTCACACTGTTCAATACCCATTCACCTTTTGGCCTACTAGTTGTCTTTGTGCAACAAAGAATGTCACTGGATGTTAGGTACAGTCAGCAATGTGCAGAACTACAATTTAAATACTGCAGTTTTAAAGTAATGATTGGGCAATTTTGACCTAGAAACCACTGAGGCCGTCTAGTATTTCACTAATACTGTCGCTTAAGATTAATACAAAGGAGATAATATTTATTAAAGTAGGAGGTAAGCTTAGCTGGTAATGTTTTAGGTGGAAAAAACAGACAGGCTTTTGGGTTCTGGGTATTTGACTTGTCCAATTTTTCCATTAGATCATTTCCTGTTAAAGAAAATGTTTTTTTCCCTAAGTATCTTCTGTCACTTCTGCATTTAATTTTCAGAAAAAGTGTCAAGTTTTAAGTAGACTTTTGTCACCAAGAACCTTCAGCAGTTGTCCACTGAAAACCTTTGTTGTAATTAACTTCTAGAGTTACTGTTTTATCACACAGGTTTTCTTCTAAGAGTGTAAGATACCCAGACTACACTAGCTTTTTTTCAATTTGGAGTTCTAACATGAAGATACTTGTTTCCTTTCATATGAGGCTATGAGGTTGCCACTAACATAAGAGATTTCTTTTGATAAAAGTAAAGATGGAAAGAAAGGATGACTTCATGAAGGATTTAGGGGGTGGGGGGTTGGCCCGCAAGGGGAATTTGGGTGTCTGCTAGTGGAAGATAACACAATAGTCAATGAGTTATACACAGTAAGAAGTAAGAATATTTATTTTAATGATTAAAATTTTAGTGCTGTTCTTGGCAGAGAGTATTTCCTTTAATCTGAAGCTACTCTGTTTATTCTTGAGGCAAATCTGTCTGGAGTACAATAGAACACTCTTCGTAAAATGTTTTCAAAGGGTGCTGACACAGTGGAGGAGTTGGTTGTTTGATCTGTAGGTTAGTATTTATATAGATGTTGGACATACTATTTTATTTTTGTTTCATATATACGTATGTAGACTGCTTTGTACTGGAGAATAAAACGTTGGCCTGGAAGCAATGAAATTTGTTTCCTGAATGGTTGATGTTTACATGGAGCTCATATGCTGTTAAACCCCTGTCCCTCTTCACTAACATATTCCATGCTCAAATGGAAATGTCTAGACATACTGGATAAAATAAATTCTAGTGATATTTCATTTTACCACAGAGATGATCTTACCTCATTATTCCTGTTCCAAATTAATAGCATAAAAAAGTAGCAATAAAATATTAAAGTGACAGAGAGGAGAAACGTTGATAGTTATGCACTATATTTCTGACTAAGTGAGTGGTAACTTTGGTGAAGATTTAAATCTGTTGATAGTAAGTAAAGAAACATGTTTCTGTTGGTTGAGAGACTGTGTTGCAAAGTTATGTCACCCATCCTCATAGCACTGTATTTGATCCCATTGACTTCTGCCAAAATATGCCTTTTCCTACCAAGCCAAAAAGAATTTTAAACCTTCATTTTCCCTGATGTGTCTTGAGTGTTTCCATGTGCTTTGTCCTGAGCAATAGCGTTTAAGGTTGGGAAAGCAAGTAGAGATTTACTGTTTCATGCTAACTAGAGGAGAATGCATACTACAACATAATTCTCTCCTCCCTGCTAACCAGAAAGATATGTTAGCTTATATGCAGTGGAGATTCCTTTGACTTGCCATAATCATTGCAGTGGACTAGCTCTGTCACTCCCTTCTGCAGTGTGGTTGCCCTGGTAAACACATGGCAGCTGCATCCTGCAGCATTCCGAGTCTAGGAGCCAAAGTCTAAAGCCCCACTAACCCTTTCTCATCTTACTGGATTTCATTTCTTTGGATTTTTTTGTTCTCCAGATAACCAACACCACTCTCATGATCAGTGCTTTTAATATTAACACTGAAAGCCAGGAGTATGCAGCAGCTCATGCACATTTGACTTGTAGCTGCCAGAAAACAGCAGGTATGCAAGCCAAACTGACATGTTTCACCTGCATCAAAACAAGGATGAAGATGAGCATGAAGGAGAAAATAAGGAACACTGCAATTACTTTGAGTAGTTGCTTCAGGAGGAATTATTTTGGAGCAGATTCATTCGAGGCAGCATCATTTCTATAAGTCAAACAGGTTTTGACTTGAAGTGGTACATATTGTGGACCTGAGGTGAACAGTAATGGAAAAATTGAGAAGAGCAGAAGTGTGAGCTCCCCAGTTCATTGAGAGGCTGTGATTATAGCTGTTTAGAAAATCCAGATTTTTATTTGCTCTTGCTCAGCAGCAATCTGTGTGGACTAACCAATGTACTGAGATGTTCCAATAGCAGCACAAGCCTCTTACAAAGGTATTGTTGTCATGTGTTGTAAGGCTTCTCAGTCCTCATGTAAGTGGTGACTTTACATTTATAAATTGTTAACTGCAGTAAGGGTAGCTGATGAACCCATACTCTTAACTGTTTTATACCTCCCACACCAGAATGGAAAATTCATATTTCATCAGGAGGGGGTTTTCTAGGGCTAGGAACAATGTACAGTATTCCAATTATAACTTTACATTGTTACACACAGTTGAAAAAACCCTGAGAAGGCAAAGAAATACCCTTGCTGAGATTGTGAGGCAAATTCAACAAATTTCTAGACTGTCTGAATGAGTTAATATACTTTTTCCCAGTTAAGATTCTTCAAATATGCATATGAAAAGGACAGTAATGTTTTATTTCTTTGAGTTCCTGGGCAATTTTTTGAGAGATGGCAACATGACATACTGGCATGTGGAATTTTTTGTGTTGTTTTTGCAGCATGCAGTCTGTATATAGTAATTGTAGAGAGTAACAACAGTTTTGAGAGTCTTAAGTGCCATCCACACAGTACTATGGGGCTGTGTATTTCGCCCTATTGGATTTACACATGAATGCCTTCTTACCTGCATGCATCTTCAAAAAATGCATAGATAATCTTCAGGTTACTTTACTATATGACCTCTTAGCCTGGAAAAGTGTGGTGGTTTACATGCAGGGATTATTACTTCTGCTTGTGGAGCTATATAAAAGTGGAAAAGAAATGAGCTTTGACTATATAGAAATACTTTTGGCTTGAGGTAAAACTGTCTAAAGCACAAATGAAAAAGCATCTTTTCTAAAAATGCTGCATTGCTGTTCACAGTAAATTGGACAGCAAGAGGCACATCGGTCAAAAAGCATTTTATTTGACTTTGAAAATCTCAGTCTTGCAGCTTGCAGCTCTTGGAACATTTGTTTCTCACCTGCCTGACACCAGACCTTTGTTTCAAAAAAAAATGGCTGCTAAATGGAAAGAGGGAGGGATGCTGAACTAAACTAAGACCATAAAAGAGTCAATAAAGTATGAAGTAGTACAGAAATTCTTTTTTAAAAAGTGTGGTATATGTTGGCTTCTGAAATACGCAGGAGCAAGTGGCCCAAAACTACCTGTCTGCATTTAAGCAGGGAAAAAATAAACAGTTGCCAGAGCCCAGAAAGGAGGAAGACAGATAATCAAACCATTGTGGGTATGGGTTCAGAGCACTGTGGGAAAGCACTTGGAGAACTGCCATCACAGCAGGTAGTAGATACAACCCCACAATGTAGGCTGAAGTTACTGCTGATAAACATATCAGAAGAAGGAGGAAAAATAATTAGGTTTTTCTTCTAGTCCATAAATCTATAAATAGGCAATATAGTTGAATACAGATGTTTTTACTTCATTGGAACCAGACATACTACGAAGGAAACCTTCCTGTATACAATCTTTCAACACAGTTTTGACCAACATTTGAAAGGCTGAAAGCTGGCTTCTAGTTCAGGATGCTTCAGTATTTTTCCCATCTTCCTCCTCAGATACTAAAGCAGTCCCTGTTCTTGTTCCTCTTGAGCAATCAGTATGAGGTTATTTTAGTTACACAGAGAAATTACAAATTTATGGCATACCTGCATGTACATCCCTTTGGATGTGCTCTGAATAGTTGAATACTGTTTTTCTCATTTGTTCTCTCGCTTGTGAGAATTATTGTCCTGGGCAAGCAGCGTAAGAGAGATATGAGCAAGGTAAACCTTGATAAAAGAGAAATAACAAAACAATTCTTCAGGTTTGTTTTTAATTTCAATGCAAGTATTCTAGATCAGATTATATCTATGAGTATGCTCTCCTAGAAAAGGCATTTTATCTACTATTGCTAAGGGTAATACAAGAGAGAGACTACAAAGCTCTAAATTTAAAAATACACTGGTTTATCATCTCTCATATCTGTAGGAAAACTTGCTTCAAAAGCTTAACACAAGACGTTTCCAATATACAGTGACATGGAGGCCTGTTGGTATTACCTATTCCAGTATTTTTCTAGTTCTGTTTTTTTTTTTCTTTACATATTCTGGGGTACTTAAATGTAAAATGTAGAATTTTGCTGAAATCTTTAGATTTAGAACACAGACTGATTAAATGCATCTTTGTTTTTCTTGCATGCAAAAAATCTTGCTAGACTTGGAAAGAACTTTGCCACTTGTTTAATTCATAGCCTGAACCCCTCTGTGCAGGTATCCAGTGTCTTCCTATGTCAAGAAGAGTGTCAAGTTGACAAGCTACTGTTAATTTGGATTGTTTTGGCATAGAAGAAGGAAAATTCATTGACTTAAATTATTTTATTAAACCAAGAGCCTAATTAATTTATTTTATCTTTACAGACTAATGGGATTTCTCTGGAAATGCGGCAGGATTGGTAATATTTTTTCTTTGAAATCTTTTAAGACCAGTGCTTTTTCTAGAGTGTGCATTATTTATTGGGATAATGTTTCCATGTAGCAATGAAACCCATACTCATAGATCATCTTTAAAAATGCAGATTTTTACCTCCATGATATAGGGGAGGGGGGCACCGAATGACTATCTTTCTTGGCATCATGGAAGCCTGGATTTTCTAATATCAGTTCATATATGCAGTGTTATATTTGCAAAAATCGTTTGCACTTTTTACTACATGAAATAACCAAGGGCATGCTTCTTATTAACATACAAAGAAATGGATGACTCCTTATAAACTGCTGTCTATTTGAAATCCTAATAGACTACTGACAAAAGCCATATATTTACCTTATAGTAATAAAAAACATAGAATTCATAATGCAGTAAGGTTCTGTTTAATCACAAATGTCTTTTTTCCATTATTTCTTTAGTCAGGTTTTGCAAACTTTTGAATTACACAAAGCTGTTGGTGTCAAGTGGCATCTATATGCAGACATTTTCCCATAACATTGATATTTATATTTATTTTAATCCTTATTCTGAATTTATTTTGAGAAGGAAGTGAAAATATGCACAGAAGTTCTTCAGTCTTAGCAGTAAGGTATATCCCAGATTTAAAAAAAATTACAAATCCATCATCTAAACAGTATTCTTCAAACAGCATTGTTAATGCAAAGTAAAAACATTGAACTTGTAATTCTAGGTCTTCCTACTTGTCACTGAAGCTAAAGGAAAAATGTATAGTTCCCTTTTCTTCATGCTAAGGCTTTGAAAGTGACGTGACATACATTTTTCAGTATGTCAAAAAGCATTGATGGAAAAAACAGTTTTTTGTGAAGACCTGTTGTTAAGATGATTGCAGATATTGTCCTATTTAGATAATAAACATAGCAGAACCAATTTTAATATTGTAATTGAAGGATACTGGCAAGGTGGAAGCTGTCAGAAATTAATTTCCTATATCAGGAAAAACAAATGTAAAAATTCATCTGCATTTTAAGGTTTGTTGAAGGTGGAAGAGAACACCTTATCTTACCAACCTTACTTAATAAATGCAAGCATGTTTTTTTCTACTAGCTATGCACAACAAACAGTTTAAATAACTATTTAAAAGCATATACAAGAGGTTTTATGAAGTCCCTGTCAACTTGATAAAGAACTGAAGTTCATCTGGAATATAGTCTAGCTTTTCCATCATGTAGTAACATTAACATGTCTGCGTTTACTGCATCCAAGCTAATGTATGCACTTTTGTGCCCCATACTAAACTAATGCCTTTTTTTCATGGAAAACACTAACTTCTTTTCAACTTCCATCTAGAGTGGTCCAATTTGACATTCTTTTAGACTGATGGATGAGAAGGTAGCATCTTAATGTTCCTTCTGTATGTTACCTAACATAACAGTACCATAGCCTCAGTGTGGGAAATATGCTTTGAAGATGATTCCTGTCATTTTATTTGTGTTAATCACAAAGACATGTAGAAAGTGTAGGTTTTTAAAATGAAAATGTATACTGGCTTCCTTTACATTTAACTTGCCCCGTATATTTAAACAACCTTTTCACATGTGCATAAGATTTTAATAAACAGCAAGTGGTTACATATTTACAAAGTTGTGCAAAATGATGTTTAATCCTGCCACATGGTGACTTTTCTTTTAAGAAAATTAAGAGCAGGAAAGTATAACCCATATGAAAATTGTAATACTCTAAACTGTAGGAGGTGGACTTCCTCAAAAATTTATTTTAAACAGATGTGAAACTGCAGACATTAATTCATTCAGTTATTTGAAGTTTAATTAAATATATGCCAGATCATGACAACATCTAGTAATGTCACTGTGGCAGGCACTCCTGCTTATGGGAGGTGTTGCTACAAGTATTTTATTTTAGTTTGACTGTGGAGAGTTTGTTCCTCCTGTATTTGAAGGTCCTGCTAGTAAAAGATACTTTTTTTTTTCCTGAGCATTACACCTTGATTCTAGATTTAGGAGCCTTGGCAGTGTTTTTTTCTTTAATATTTCTCTCAAAACTGAGTCTCAGAAAAGATGGCTTATAGTAAGACAAAAGACCTGGTACAGCAAAAGGAAATCGAACTCTGTTTAAAGTAAACAGCTCCAGCTCTGTATTTGTGCTTCTGAATGTATAAAACCAGGAATCTTCTCCTGTTAAAGAGTCATTGCTGTCTTAACACTTCCTGACAGTTTTGTAGGCTGGATATACAATCCACGGTATGGGACTCCGCTCTCCAGAGAGAAGTCAGTGGATTAATGAAGAGTAATGCTTAAGTAGAAGAGCAGAAACAGCTGGCTAATTAAATAGATTAAATGCTTGTGTAAATAGGTAGCAGTCTGATTAGCAATACTGATATTCCCCTGTTTGTGTTACAGTTCCCTACCTGAGATTCATTTTTTTTTTTCATAGTTTATTTGGTGAACAAGAAACCTCTGTCACATTTTGTTCTGGACCATATGGATGGGAATAGATCTTTCTCATGTGCCTTTGCCACCAAATATAAGTCTGTTAATGGAGTAAACTTAACTTTCATTCGTGGTCTGCCCTGGAAAACTGTAACACTAATTTGAGTTAGAAAAAGAAGTGTCTATGCAGCTTCTGTAATCTGTGGACCATTTTTATCACTAACCTGAAAATCTGTGGACCAGACCCTTTCCACATGCTAATAATGTTATGTCTCTCTAGCAAAAAGAAAAAAAAATTAAAAAAAAACAGGCATCTGGCCATGTCTGGGCTGCTGTGAGCTCCCCAGCCAGTTAGCTGGCTCCTGCATGATACCATGCATAAAAGATGCATGCTGCATATAGCAGCTGTCATGGCCAGACAGCATCTAAGCACACCTCTTCTCAGCTGACATGGAACAGCTTTTGAGCCGCGATAGCCCTTAGCCAGGACTGGGAACAGAGCCAGTAAAAGATTTGGTGTCTTGACCAGCTTTTCAATGCCTGCCTCCTGCCTCTCTTTGGCCATAAGAGATAGCAGCAGCGCATTCGGGGGGTTTTTTTGGTAACATTTTCCTGGAAACAGCATCTCAGAAAAGATGGTTTGTAGTAAGATAGAAGTCCTTGCATTCACCTTTGCTTAAAGCAAACAGCCTCAACTCTGTCTTTTTGTAGCAATATATCCTATTCTGCGTCTTAGTTTTCCCACTCTCATCCATGTTCTTCCTCAGTACACAACTGTAGTTGTAACAGCATTTACTCAGCTAGAAATGTTGACTATTAATTTGCATGTGCAATGGGATCATTACAGTGTTAGTCTAGGAGCAGCCTAGATCTGTTTAGTCATGCCTGCATTTTTGTTTGATTTGGGTTTTTTTCCCTCCTCTCAGGTGAAAGAAAGAGCCCCTTCGTGGCTGTGTGCTGTGTCATGATGGCCTTCAACATTCTGTTTGCACAGTAGCAACTGGAGCGTGTCCCCTGTGCCCTGCTACCAAACAGTGGAGAATGGAAGAACTTCTGTTAGGAAAAGATGGGAAAGCGTCATCAAGTTTTCTTTCACATATTGGATAGCCTTTCTCTTAGTGGACACCCCCCTTCCCACAAACAGACCATCATGTACAGTGTTAGTGATCACAGTGTAACTAACTCCAGGTGACATGTACTTATTAATGTCAAGTCAGTACTGACACTCCCAATGCAACTCTTGAAAGGGTGTCTGTTGTATATCTGAGTTTCAGGGGACCTTTTCAAAACCATGCAGTTGAAAAGGCTAATTTTTTGTTTGAGAGATCTCTTTAATGAAACTAAAAAATTATAAATACTGCTATTCCTGTAGGACCACTCTAACAAGAATAAAAATCATTGTGACTCTAGGATATGTTTACAAAAGTATTTTTAGATCTTACTATCTGAAAAATTCCTGTCAGTTTGTGATAGCTGTACTCACATACTAAAAGTATGACCTCTGGCCTAAGTTACATTCAGCTTTTGTTTTCTAAACTTTCAATTCCTCAAATAATCAATCAGTATCTTTATGGTGAAGATAAGACAGGAATATAGGCAGGGACCGTAATTGTAGTGTGATGTCTGGCTAGATGCTGAGAAGGCACAGATGTGGGATTTGAGAACCTGGACTGCTCTGTATAAAATATTGTATGTATTCATTTTTAGAGATCTAGGTCTCGGGTAGATCTTTCCCCATATTTTTTTCAGTATTGTGAGAAAAAGATTGCAAAGGTTCTGCTGCTATTGTTGCATGTAATACAAGATTGCTAAATCATCTAAGTGAACAGTTAGCTTTATACAAATCTGCAGATAAGGAAGTTGCACGTCCCAATATTCTAAAGTTTGAAGAAAACAACTAAATTAGATTACACTCGCTATTTAATAAAGATTAGATTACCTTTAGTAATATTTGCCATTAGAAAATTTACTGCTTAACAAGTCAACTAATAATAAATTAATGCAGTAAAGCCTGAAACATGATGTGGTGTTTCCTAAATACACAGAGTATTTTACACCGTTGCATGTACTTGCTGTGGATTAATGTTATATTAACTTTCGTCCACATCTGCACTCTAAATGACCTCAAATTCAAAGCAGGGATTTAGGAAGACTAAATTGAAAAGCAGTACGAGCCATGTTGGGAAATGAGTAAAGCATGAGTAAGAGATGGGATCACCACAAAGATCTGATGTTTTGGGGAGACTGATAAGCAAATGGGCAGACAGATCTAGTGGAGGAGGAAACAAAGTGGAATCCAAGGATGACTCGAAGATTTCATGTTCATGGAACAATGTTATTGTTCTATGAATGCCCTTTCTACCTTGTTAACCACAGCCAGTGAGCAGTGGAAATACACTGTCACTATGAGATGGAAGTTGCAGTGTGGTAGAGGAAATAATTACTCTGTTAGTGCTCTGAGGCTTTTATTCTTTCGGTTTGTTCACCCACTGAAACAATTCACGTTACCTGTGGAGACAACATACTATTCACAAATAAAGCAACCTGCAGTCATTCTCTATAGCCCCTAGAAGCAAAGCAAAGCATTAAATGTACCATTTGGCAAGAGACTGTTAGAAATACAGAGAGGATTACTGTCACTTCCTATATTATGAGTTGTGTTTTCCCACTGCTGAAGCCCCCAAAACATGCCTGGATCTCTGATTACTTCTTGCAGTTAAAGCCACCCTTTTCATCCTTCCCAGTGTCTCCATGATAAATCAGTAAGGATGACAATAAGGATGTCCAGTTCTATCCCTTTGACATCAGCGGGAAAGCCCACCATCTAATTCTTAGAAAGGCTCACCATGATGTAGTGATTCCTTTCCCTATTGCTTCCTTTCATGCCATAACTACTCTTGAGAAAAGAAGACAAAAAGAAAACCAACATCTTAATAGATTAAAATGCTGACCTTGGTAAAAACCACCAGAAGCCAGGAAAGTGTGATCTAAACCTGCTTCTCATATTCATGTGGTCACTTTATGTTATCTAGTCAAAACATTCCCAGTTAAGAAAGGTTTTCCAACCTTTTTCCTGCCTTTTCTCTTGTTTTACTTGAATAGTGTTAGTCATTCCAGGTATAGTTGAAGAGTGCTTTCAACATTAAGTTAAGAGGCACTTGCCTAGCTAGAAAAGTAGTTCCCCTTTAGCTAACTTAATGCAATGTAATCAGAATGCTGGGTACAGAAGATACATCTACACATTGAAAAAAATGTTTTGAACATGTGGCCTGAATTGCTTGCTTGGCTGCAGTTCTTTTATTTTATAAATAATACCTCTTTTCAAGATGCCCTGAGGTCATAAGCAAGGCAAAAAGGCAAAATGCGTGGAGAAATGAAGTCATTCTGAAAGATCTGCTGACAGTTGGAAATAACTACATGCTTTTCAATAGGGAGGATCTTCTTCAAGTCTAATATGACAAATGTCACACAAAGAACTAACCAATACTTAGGTTTCAGTTTGTCAACTCTTTCAAACATGAGGGCCTTGTGTGCCCAAAAGCACATCTATTTTCTTCAGTCAATCAATATCTGACAAGATACGTTATATCTCAAGGCAACCTTTGCCTAAATTTATTGACCTGCTCATTGGTGAATACACTGTAGGTAGTCCTCAGTAATCTCTCACATCACGGTGCACCCTTCTGTTTGGCTGTCTGACAGTGGAGCCCATGCTTCTCTGATGAAGCAGAAGTCAGTCTGAGTCTTCCTCAAGCTTCAGAGACTTCAGAAGTAAAATAGCCATTGGCACCGCAGCTCTTCTATTGCTTCCTAGTGCACAAGAACCAGTAGCTGTAGAAAGAGTGTCAAACGCTTCATTAATCTAAATCAGGAGGACCTTCCGAAAGGAGTATGTTACTAACTCACATAATTCCCACTGCCGTGGGAGTGAAACGCCAATGTTTTCTCAAGGATCTGGGTATAAACATTTCCAGTGACACATTTACTCCTGCCAGCTGCTGTTATGTCAGTAGAGAAGATAATTACTTAATGGGCTCCTCTGTCAAATGCAAAACTTCTACGAGAGCATCTCATCACATCACATCATTTCCGTTACTTGAAAGGGCTCTTTGGAACCTGTACCGCGAGAAAAAGAGTTTTTTCCCTCCAGCTCAGCTAAGCGAGTGGGAAGCAGTCAGCATGTATCTCCAGCCCAACTGTATCCAGCTGCAACATCATTTCAGTAGATTGCCATACTTATGTCAACCCGTTCAGCTGTAGACCAGTTCATCAGTTTGTGTAGGCCTAATTAAACTCCGTGGCATGCCACCGATCTGTTTTTCAACATGATGTAAGCACACACCATCCAAACAGTGCACCATGCTCCTTGACATACTCTGCATCATCTATTTGCATCATACATAAACTAGTCAGAGGAGTCTATCACATCACTCATACCACATCAGCATTTATTGTTGGAGAACTCAGTGATTAATATACTGTATTTTTTCCTAAAGGAAGACAAGGATGTTTTAAAAGGGTAAAATTATATATGGTTTAATTTATTCTGCAAAAAAAAACCACCTTGTTTTGAAACACAAAAGACCTGTTGTTTTAAAGGAAAGTCAAGTCAGGTCAAAATATAAATGTACCCTTTTTAATTCTAAAGTCTTCACAGCTGGTCATTCCCACATGCAGAAACTTAAATAACCTTTCAGGACTGTAGCAGGGCTAACAAAAAGTCCAACGAAATGATAGATGTATTTGGACATAAATGTTACACCCAGTGGAATTAGAAGGAAATAAAGCCTAATTTAACAGTGTTGGCAAGCTGCTTTTTTGACTGTGTAGCACCACCAGCATATTTTACATGTGTATCACAGTCATGAATAAGTCAGACCAGACACACATTCACAAACCAGTTTTGATTTCCTATCAAGCTACATGCTTATTTTCCTTCCCCCACCCTTTTCAGCTAATAAAGGAAGCCAAGGGAACGTGCTGATCATCGTCTCTGGAACAAATGTAAGCTCCATATTCTCATAATTGATTCTCACAGACTGGTATAACTTCAGTAGAGACAAAAAAAATCCCTTCCTAGTGATAAATGATTCTTGACATTTGAATTGTTTTATTTATTACAGACATAAAATCCTGATACCAAAGATGGCCCTGAAAATTATCATCATCACTAGCTATATGCCTGAGGCTAGAGGGATTGAACTGTGTTCCTCATTCAAGAGGAGTTTATGAGCATGCAATAGTTAGTGTATTCTTCCCCATACTGCTTCCCTGCAGCCTACAAAGGAACAAGTTTTGACATCAATCAATAGTTTAATGATACCCCCTTCCTTCAGAGACCAGAGGCGTAGAAAAGATCTTTGTCTCTGGGTTCATGGTGACTCCTGGAAGTAATAAGAATTGTCTCCTCATCTTCTCTGTGCAAGGAAGAACTATCAAGCTGCTTCAGGTCATGGCCTGATCTGTTGGTTTGACCACACCATCATCTTCATATCCCTCCCACCCACATTTTCACTTTTGCTTTTACAGCCATTTGAATTCTTTCCTTCCCCACAGGCAGCGAGAAGGTTCTTCCTCCTTACATTGTCCAGTAACAGACCCGGTAATACCAGGTTTGAAAGCAAACTTTCTCTAAACAACTGTCTTCTCTTGTGTGCAGGGCTTTATGCATTTAAGTGGCTAACATTTGTCTGTAAGACAGCATCCTGTTCTTCATTACAAATCCATCCATAAATAACTACTTTTGAAACTCCACATACAGTGTGCCAGTTAAACAACTAATGACTTGGCAGTGCCTGGTCACTGGTTACAGAAGACAGCAAAATTGGCTGTGAAACCACAGCACTGCATTTGGTTGATACAAGGTACTATATAACTGCACCAAATTACGCATACATATGCCATAGAAGCTTCATTAACCAGGGTATGTAGCGTGGTGTTGAATATGGTGCAAGAATCTCTCTACAAAACTTAAGGCACAGTTCTGTGCCATGTGGCACTGGAAGTTCCAGTTTTGTGTCTAAATTTCTCACCCCCCCATCTCTGCAAGAAAAAAAAAAGAAGACAACTCAGCTGGTAAGCCCCAAAACCCTGGGAGAACATAAATGCAGAGATAAACCCAGCCACACCTGAGCTACTCCATCCAGCTCTGCCAAGGAAGCCAGCTCTCAGAGAGCAGGAATACACAGTCTAATGAAGAAGGGAGGAAGACTCAAGTGGTCAAGCTCCCTTCACTGCTTCTTCACATTTATCTATTTTCCACTCCTCTTTGTTAGACTTTAAGGCTGCCACACTAGTGCAGCCTCTTCCTAGCAGAACAGACTGCGACCATGGAGAGGAAGGTTCTCTTTTATACATTTGGGGTGATGATCTTGCTGGCTTGTAAACCTGATGGAATGATTCAGTATGTGCTTACAAGAATCATAACAATATAGGCTAGTCCCTAAACTCATGTGGACCATTCATCTCACATTTGGAAAATATGTTTTAAAGGAAAAACAGGCCACAAACCACAAAAGCACTCCCTCTGACAAGTTTATTATATTTATTTAGTATACCTCAGTGAGGGGCTCTGAATTACGCATACACAAACAGACCTCATCATTCCTTGTCATAATACAGTAAAATATAATACACAGACAAGTGCTTCAGTGCCATGACCTAAGCACAGGAATGGAAGCTTGGTCCTCTTCACTTCCATTACCAAATAATTCACTACTGGGGAGTAATTTATCAAATCCTTGCTGAGCCAGCAGGCTGTGTTCAAACAACGCCAAACCCACCACCTGCCCTTTATCAGTTTCCAGGTTCAGACTCCAGATGGAGAAATATGAAAACAAAGAGCCTTTTAAGACCTGTTTTAGCATCATCATAAGCAAAACGTGACCATACACTGCATATGTCTACCATGGTCCATGTCTTGCAAATGTTGACCTAGATATTTGTTTGGTTACACTCCAGATTTCCCTAACTTTAGCATTTGCCCCTGCAACTCTTTCCCAAGCAGAAAGTCCATGCTCAGTTAGGGACTGACAAACGCGTTTCAAAACCACCCCATCAATTCAAGATGAACAGTGCAAAATGTGTAGTGAGAAAGGGCAGGCATAGGAAAAAAAAATACCCAGTGAAAATCAACACGAGAAAATGTGAGAGCAAGCAGGAAAAAACAAGTGGCATGGACTAGATTTTTGTGCTGCTCCAGTCATCTGAAGGATTTAGTCATTTACCTTGGACTTACCAGTGCTTCAGGGGAGCACTGCAAGGTGCCTCCCCCCAGGCTCTGCATGGTGGGAGCAGTCCCCAGCGAGGAGGTGAGCACCCAAGGCTGAGGAAAATGAAGAACCCATGTTTCCTTTCTGGGTAAACACTCAAAGAAGTCAGTATGACAACAGCATTTCTGAGTAAAAGTGATCAGCACAGATAAACTTCCAACCACAGCTCACTGCCGCACTCTCCAAACCACAGAAGAGCCACACTGGGCTGACTTCAGCACTCAGGGGACATTATGCCCCAAACCCCAGGTCCCAAGCCTTCCCATTTACTTCCTTACATTTAGGCATAATCCTTTCACCTCAACACTGCCATTGCCAAGACTAAACCAGATTACTCACAGAGATTTTGTGTCGGTAGCATGTGCTAGATTTGAATACCTCTTATGTAAGTGGAAAGACTATTTCGGAATGCTTTCAGCACTGTGTAACATTTCATACGTAAAGCACAACTCCCATTGTTTATAGCTATACCTGAAATCAACCAATACTTTAGAAAAAAAAATCAGTGTTGGAAAACAACATTAGTGAGCATGTGGGGAAAAATTAGATTAGGTAACCTAATACCACCTAATACAGAAAGAGAAATTTCAATTCCATGCTTTTCCTGTAGCTGCAGTAAGCATCAAGCTATCTATCTTCTCTTAGCCCATAACACATTCATTATACGTCTTCCAACCTCCTCAGTGAAAGCAAGGTCCCATCCCTATTTAACCCAAATTCACTCCTAGAACAGTTTCACCCCTGACACTGAAAGAGGTACAGGACCTCTGGGAAAATTCCTGTGTCAACACCATGCGCCTGAGCCAGGTAGCGCATCATTTGGTCTGTCAATACTGGTGAAGGCTGCCTGGGGCCCGGGAATTGGACAAGGCTAAGTGGAATATGCTTAGACAGTATTAAACTGATGAAGATATAGAATAGCAAGCTTCAGAGCTTAGCAGCAGTCATGTTTGGATTCTCCTTTTATTCCTCTAAATCCAGTTCTAGAAGCTGCATTACAGCATTTGATCCTTGGCAGTGACTGAACAATTTCTATTGCCATTCCTCCTAATATGATATTTAAACAGATTCTGGATTTTATTAAAAAAAAAAAAAAAAACAAAAAAAACAAAAACAAACAAAAAAAACCATGCAATCTCAAGCAATTTGAAGATAGACCAGTTGAGTCTAAAAATACTTTTGATTCTAGCATACCTTCCTGTTGATGGGGAGACTGTCATTGAGACAATTAGAGACCTCATTAAAGAAAATTGATTGAGTTTTCAACAGATGAGTATGCTGTTAAGCAATTCCACAGCCCCATTAGAAATACTGAAGCACCTTCACATGAATCTTTTAGGAGTCAGCAAAAAATTTCTTCATCAAGTTATGCTTGATCTCACTTTATTTTAGGAGGTTGTCTGCAATGAACTCTAGAGTTCTCTTCCAGTGCTGAGTTCATACAGTTAAAGACAAGACCCTGACTGCTCTTTTGTTGAAAACTCCTCATCAGTTTCTCTACTTGATGTGTTTTCTTTTAATCATTTTGATTGAACAAAGGAGATGAAATGGTGCCAAAAAGAAAACAAAAGTCCCACAAATCCCCAGGTTGCAAATTCTAGGTCATTCATTTCCCCTGTTATCTGCACAATAGGATCAGGGAATACCCTGAGCAGAGGGGATGACAAGGATATGATCCAAACAGTACTCTGGTGTGGTTTCTGGTGCAAACTGGCACTAGGGTACTTCTTTAGCCAGATTTTTCTAATTCCACCATGTCAGAACACCCACTAGTTTTACAGGGAATAGCAGTCAGCATTAAGCATGCAAAAAAGATCTAGCAGTTCAGGACAGGAAAGGAACACCTTATCCAGCTCCAATTTTAGGATAGCCTAGACTATTGCTAGACCATTAGTTAGCACTAAGCAATGTGAAGAACGTTCGCTAAATTGTATTTATACATAAAGACAGGTACATTTGCTGAAGGAGTGTGACCCACTGAGAGGTCTTCTAGCCAAGTACTAGCTGATTTAAACCATAGTCCAGACTTCAGTCATTTAAAAAATAATAACTCAAAGTCAGATATCCTTAAGAAGTTATTTTATCACTTTATGACAGATTATAAATATAATTGTTAGGTGTTGTGCTATTCTGATATGCTGCTGCTACTTAGCTTTGCCATTTCCACCTTCCAAGATGTTATTTCTCTATTGCACCCCATCTGGAACAAACTCACTTGGGATGCCTAAATCAGCTTTGCTTCCAAAAACTTCTGTTCCAACAGACTGCTTTTTTATTCTCTTGGAAAGCTTTTTTCTTAGAAATAAGACTATTATTGACACTTTTTATCTCAGAAAAAGCATTAGTATTCCCTGTTTCCAAATAAAATATTCTTGGTTTGGAGGGAAAAGAAAACTTTTCTATTCAATGTAAACATAAAGAATGATGCTTCTCATACAACATTCATGTCTACAAAATTTACAATTCCCAAATGTATGTGGTGTTACCAAATGATACTCATAGAGAGTGACAATAAAAGTATGTCCAACTGGATACTATCCCTCTTCCGAAAGTGCTAACTAATCTTAACTGTCCTTGTGATTTACAAAAACACTAATGGAAGTAGTTTAGCAACATGCTCTGGCAAGCAAGAGTATGTGGACTAGGGAGAGGCATAAATGTCCAACACTGGAGGAAAAGTGTGCATTTACTGAAGGAAAGAAGGAGCATGTAAACATAAAACACACAAAAGTAGAAATAAAAAACTGGTTCATGGGTTTTCCTCTGTGCTTCTGGATATCCATTATTGAGTATTCTCAATTAGATTCGCTTGTACTGAGAATTAATCTAACAACCGTTGATGTCTGAAATATCAAGACCCAAACAGGAGCAAAATGGTTTTAAATCATATCTTGGGTCCCTTCTTCAACTGATGTGAAATTGTTCCAACATCATTCACGTCAAAGGTGCAAATACAGCCTCCCGAATCCACTTAGCCCCGTTTCTGCTGTTTTGTGCTAACAGTGCTCTATTTTGTGATAATAATGCTCCATTATGTTTACACTTGAAAGCCTCTCTTCTCTCCCACTTTAATTTTCATCTGCAATGCTTCCTTCTTCTCAGATGTTACATTATCACCAATTTATTCCTGCAGGATAACTCACATAACGCTATTTCTACTAAGTCTAATAGAAAGAGCATCTCATGAAATTGTCACACCTGCTAGTTATTTGCCCAGTACTTTCCTGCCTTTCTGAGGGAAAACTGACAGCTATTGAAGCATGCAAGATATTCAATATTGTTGCTTTTCTAACTGTAACACTGAAGAAAGAATACTGAGATTGTTTTCTCAGGATTTAGTTTTTGCTGACCATTGTTTCTTGCTCTTTTGTTTCCTGCTTGGTGGGCTCCTTTCCACAAGCAGTCTGGAAGAGAGAGTCAAGAAAACTGTGAGGCCATGAGGGAAATCAAATGGCATAATTACGAATGACACAAACATTAAATGAAAGTCTTGCCTTCCTCAGGCCCTTTACATTTCTAAAGGCTCGGGTGACTGAAATGCTAGGATTAATTAAATATAACACCAATAAAATCTGCAGAAGTTAAATAGATCTCTGTTTTTTCACCTTCTTAACTGTGAGAAAATTGAAGGGACTAGAAATAGCAGAATATTTCTCTTTCCTATTACATCTGGTTGAAAAGGAGTGTGTTTTTCTAAGCAAGCATGAAAATGAAGATGAAAGAGGTACTTTCCACTAAAAAAGAGACTCGATTATGATTAGAGAAGGGGTAGGGAATAAATCAAACCAGAATAAGTTGCTGCCAACCTGCACAAATGTTATGGCTAATTGTCAAAATTCAGTCAAGTAGGAGAACAAATACATGGCTGCTTGTCCCTAATCAGAGTCTGCAGTAGTTAGCAGATGTCAGAATGACACTCATTTGGCTAAAACGATGAGCTCCTTTTTCACTGTGGGTGAACTTGTGAACCCCAACCCATTCTTTGGTCATGCACAGGACAGAAGAAATCCCTGGTGCTCTACATCAGCAGAGATCAGGTAAGACTGCAAAACTTAGGAGGAAAGATGACTGCCCCAGCCAATACAATCTAATTTCTGCTGCTCTTTGCATTTAAACATCGTCTTGAGAAAGTGCATGACTCTGGTTCTCCAGCCCCAGGGTCTTTGCAAATAGCAAGCTGGCTACCACATTGTGCATAACTAGGACAAAAAGGCAGATCTGCTCTTCATACAAAAGTCAGCCGGCCTTTGTTTACCACATGTCCTTTTGTTGCTAGAAGCTTTCATCACTTGCACTAGAATAATGAAGGACATGGCAACTACAGTGTAACCTTACCAATCTATTCTCATGAAAAGCTCAAAAGTCAAGTCCCCAGCTGTCTCTCAGAGAAATACATGCGGAGAAGGATATGAATTACCATTTTGGAGATGCTGTAGAGACACCTAGATTCTCACAATTTTAAATTAAAACATCTGTTAACAGTGTGGCAAAAGAACCAGATCTACAGGCTGGTTTGTAATTCCATGTGACCATGATAAGGCTATTTGAACAATGCCCAGCCTCATGGTTAGGTTTTAATTTTGTCAGGATCAGATGGCAGCTGTGCCAAATCACTGTTGCAAGATAAAATGAAAACAATTATGTCAAGGAACATCGTATGTCATATCATGTTTACTTATAATAGACATTTATCTGGCAATCTGGGCATTAAAAACAAACAATTTCAGTAATGAGAGTTCATACAGATTTCCAAAGTACAAAGTTCTTAAACCATTAGGTCTTCATTGGTTAAAACCATATGCAAACTGCTCTTTGGATTAAATGTCATTGTAGACTAGGAACTGTATAAACCTTCACTCTTTACCAAACTACCACGGACCCCAGCAAGAGTAGAACTCTAACCTTCATTAGGATTTCTCAGCAGTGTAAAACTGGCTTAATTCCTCCATAAATTATGTATTTTAGAAATATTTTAAAACCTCAAACATTTCAATCAGAAATGCCAATGCTGCCAATAAATTTGAATAATATTTCTTATCTGAATTAGTCACCTCCATGTTTCTCTAGGACACTAGAATAAAGCCAACTGCACTTGTCATTGAAGACTTTGAAGCCTTGTCATTGGTGCTTGTTCTCTAAAAAAACATATAGCACCCAGTCAAACACATAATTCTTGCTACAGAAGGAATATAATTAGCTTTTATGCTCCAAGCTTCTCTTCAGGGTCCAGGGAATAAGATCCAAAGAGAAGACTCTAAAGTCTTGTTGCTCTCTTTCTCAGTGATTAGTCCACAACATAGGAAAATACTCTCCCAAGTGTACTAATACTGTGTGTCTCCCTCTGACTGCTCATGAAAGATTTTTCCAGCTGTGGATGCTACAGAGATACATACTGCTTTTTTAATTTGTTGCATCAGCATTGTGTTTAGCACTACAAATTTCAGGTTTATTTCTCACTATTACAACAATTTTGTGAAGAGAGCTGTTAGCAGCACAGTCACTTTTTTGTGTGCCACAGCACCTGTGAAAATTCCAACCTGTATGCTCACTCTGGTTCATGTGACAAAAAAATAGTAGATACTACTGTGGTTGGCTAGCTTGTGGCTCCAAAATTCTGGACAAGCACAAACACTTTCAAACTTTTCCCCTGACCACTAACAGCCCTGTGGAACTGATAAAAGTTCTTTCTGTTTGGTGAACATGGACCAGTTGCAAAATACTTACTATGGCTGTACAGATTCAGTGACATACTCCTACAAGAGCCATCAATTGCATGTGATGCCCCATATGTAGTAGACTTGCACATGTTTGCTCCTTATGAAGCAAATGTTTATTTCAATTTAAAATCTAAGATTCTTCGGTGTTTTTCATCCCTTCCACTTGGTCTCTTTGTTATTCTTCTTCCAAAAAAATGTATTTAAAAACTACTGTCATTTTTTCAAATTAATTTGACTCAAGATTTTGGAAAATTCTAGCTACCTAAGACCAGCTAGAAAATACAGCTCAATATAACCTGCAATAGACATTATGAAGGTCTTCAGCAGTAGAGGTCATCACTGGTTAAATGTAAGGGGAGCAATTAATTGCAAACAAGAGACAACTACTGCCACTTTATAAACCTGGGGCATCCAGGTTGCATTTCTGAAGT